TTGCGGTGCGGGTGACAGCACGGAGCGAGCACCGGCCGCACGGGTGTCCTGCTGGGTTAGGGCGTGACACGAAGTGGTGTCTTATCCTTTGCGTGCTGGGTTGTTGGTTTGTTGGTTTTTTTTTTCTTTTATGGTTGCTTGGCGTGTGTGTGTCAAACTTCAGTTGTATTGCTGAAGGTTTAGTTATTAATTTCTGTGGGGCTCAGTGTTCATTCTTGCCTCGCTTAATGGGATGTCCCTCACAAAGACTGCCCAAACGTGAAGTGGTGCTGAGGACTGGTACCACAGCGGGGATTTGGCTTTTCCTCTCACTTTATGTGAGAGGTTTGTGGTTTGGGGCAGGGGGGACAATGGAGCAGCGGAATGGCGGGCAACTGGGATCTGTGGGGCTCCTCAAGTGGATTTTTTGCCTTTAGGAATGCGATGCTGAATTTTCATGTGGAAGAACAGAAGAGTGAAGAAAAACCTGAAGGCAGCACAAAAAGCTGACCTAAAAAGCAGAATGTGTTCCATCATGCTTTTTGTGTTAGCTTCAATGTAACCCATTACAGATTCTCAAAAGTACAATACACTGCAATTGTGATTGTACATTATTTTTATATAATTATTTTCTAAGACAACAGCCCATTAGTAAATAATGGTCTTACATAATGGTGATAGCTGTGTACCTGTACCACTGTCTTAAATGTACAGTTTGAATTCAACTTTCTACTTTATCATGCAGGTCCGTGTTCTTTTTTTGCTTTCACATACATTGCAGGAGCTGTAGTCATTGAGATTCTGAAAAAAGAAGGTGTTTGGTTGGTTTTTTCAAGAGTGCTGTATAGGGTCATAATGCCTTACAGGTTTGTATAAGTCAAGCTTCCTTCTTCAAGAGGTTTTTATGATCCTGAAGAATATGTCAAGAACTAGTGTAATAAATAATCCTGATAGAAATTTTTCTTGAAAAGAAACGTGTTTCTTATAGGTATCCGCAAAGAAGCAATGGCGACAGAATCCCCACGCCGCCCTAGTAGATGTACTGGAGGAGTGGTTGTGCGCCCGCAAGCTGTCACGTAAGCACGTTCTAGAAGAGTAGCCCATATTTGAAATGTTTTTAATTTTCTTGTAGAAGAAGAACCTAGCCTGAATTTTCTTTCAAAGCCAGCTGTGAGAGCTTGTGTTGACAGTACAGTTTTGTTGCATTGAATATCTCCCAATAAAATAAACTAAACAGATGTTGCATTCCTGTCTCCTATGAGTGTGCAGGTCAGACCGTCTCCATAAATGGGATGCTTTTAGCTTAATACACCAAAACCTTCAAAGTGCGTGTTTTAAAGATGAATACTTTATCTTGCAATGTTTTGTTGTTTGTTTACACAGTTTTGTTTGCTGTACAAACGCTGCACTAGCTGTAGATCAATGATTGCAAACTTCTTAATCTAGAAGGAACATGTGTAGCATGTTCCTTTCTTCCTGTTCTTTTTAATAATACCTTGTCACAGGGGTGGATGTATTAAACCATATAAGCCAGTCATTAAAGGCCTTTGGTAAGTAGAATGGTGGATTCTAATCTTTCTTCCTTAAGAGACCAAAACCAAGAACAAAGGAAGAAGCCACCTCTCTCCAGTCGGAGCACATAAGCAACTATCTTTCTGCTTGGGCATCCTTATTTTCATTGTGTTCACGTGAAAAGGCCTTCGTGGCAAAAGAGCTTAGTAAGACAGTCTAGAAGATTTAAGGCCTCATCTTTATTAAAGGATTTTTGTAGCAGTTGTTTTTTTTTCCTGGGCATGTTTATACTCCTGAATTGCTGCTGCAAAATGGCGCTGTATTGAAATGTTCACGTGTGCTACCAGTTTTAGCAAGCTATTAGCTTGCCACTGGAGGTGGCTGTGTATTTCAACATCAAGATTCACTTTATTTTTACCAGGAGCATAAGGAAACCTATCATTGTAACACAAAAAGTTGTGTTAGAGGTTTGTCTTACAGCCATGTGATAGAATAAGCATTTTTTTATGTTGCAGAATTTCTCAACAAACACATTTCTATTTGTAATCACCTTTTCTTCAAAGTACGCCTTAAAAATATAATAACAGAAAAACACTGTAAGAATAAGTGTTGTTCTGTTCCGCTGTTTTATTGAATATGGTGGCTTGTTTCTGAGGTATGTCTTTCCACCTCAAAAATTTTGGTCTTTCTGGTGCGAGTTTGTGTATGTTGAGCAGCCTGCTGCAGCGTTCTGCTGCTTATGTTAAACTCCGAGATTCTTCAGAAGGGTTGTTTTGGTGGCTGTTGTTGTTGTTTTGGTTGGTTTTAGGCACTTTAAAGATATCTTGTTGGAAGTTTTTCAACTTCAGGAGAGACTTAGAGTACATTCACTGAATAAAACATTTCCCAAACATTAACTTTGTCTCAAGGTGTACTTGGGGGGGAGGATAAAAAAAGTACTTAATTCATGAGCTGAAAAATGAAGACAGTATGACTCTTGCTGGTAGGCATTCACATGAGAACTTCAAACACTGTATTTAATACTATACCTGTAGACAAGTATTGTTGCTAGGTAGTAAAGGGCTCTGAAGGTATACAAAGACAGTTCTGGTGACCTACATATATCAAAGAAGAACTAGCACTAGAAACCACAGCTCATTTATGAGGCCTCAGCTTAAAGCAAAAGACAAACTTTGATGCAGTAATCCTTGGACTGCTGAACAAAGTCTGGTTTTGTCATGAGTTGGAATAAGCTTTCTAAAATTTAAAACTTTCATGTGTTAGATTTATCTTTGTTTTCAGAAGGGAGTCAACCAGTTAAGCTGATCCAGGTGTTGTAATGTTTGACTCGAAGTATCTTCTATATTGCTCTCTATAGGGCAGAGTACTTCTTAAATACTAACCACTCCAATTTCTATTAAAATAATCTTACACAGCACAGTTTCAGAAAGCACAAAGAAAGCATGTGTACCTTAGGGCATCAAGAATCTGGATTTCCTAGTTTATGATTTTTCTTTGTTGCTGTTAGAAATCTTGAGTTAGCACAGGAAAATGTACTACCAATATAAAAATTGATTTGGGGGCTGCCAAAGCTGTTGTCTAAAGAGTTGGTTTTGGTTTTTTTTTTAAATTGTCTCAGACTTTATGAAGATAGCTCTTGTTGGCAGCATGTCTCAGTATTACTCATTACAGAAAACACAAACTTTTTGTGTTGTTTCAACACCATCTGATATAGTCAACCCACATTGTACGTTGCTCAGCAGTTACACAAGAGACTCGGCACTCATGCAGGGATAAGCTAATAAAAGCATTAGTTTGAATCTACCAGAACAAATGTATCTTGTGCTATATACTATTCTAAATCATTGGTGTTAATGAACTTTGAACGAATAAGCTTCCCAAGCTATAAAATCTTATCTGAAAATACCCCCTTACTATTCTTAGTTAGGATTTTGTTCCATCTCCTGCCCCTAACCGCTACTACTTATTTCATCATTGTACATAATGCATATGAGGTCTTAAAGTTTACTTGCCCCATGAGGACAGTCCTCATGTTCATGTTTTAATATCCAAATCAAGTAGAAAAATACTGAAGAATAATTTCCAAGTGCCTGTTCTACTTTAGTCAGCCGCTCTGATGTGGAGAGCATGGTTTATTTCTTGCCTGTTATATTTTATACTAATTCCCATAAGCAATTATTTCATAAATGGATATCACATAGCTTTTTACAGGCCACTCTTTATATTATCAGAGTACTTGGCAGTATATTAAGTAACTGCATTCTATACTTAGTATTTTCCTTTCTTCTAAGGATTGTGCATGTTTTCTCTGGTGATATGTCTTATTTAATATTTTCCCAACCCTTTCTGAGCTTCAGTGGAAGTTAAAAATTCTCCTTTTGTTTTCAAGGGAACAGTCATATATGGAAAGCGTTGTTACGTTTCTTCAAGATGTTGTGCCACAGGTATGTGTGGGTCTTTAAAACTATTTCTTTGGTGTATAAAGCTGTTGAAGTGTGTGTCAGGTGGACCAAAATATTGTTGAATAACAAAAGCCAAATTTTGGGGTTTTAAAATGTGAGTCTTGAGACTAGACTTTTGAAAGCGTAGACTGCATGCCATCTGAAAATTTGGCCTATAGATTTCCTCTGATAGGTAATAATTTAAATGAAAATCTTAGCTACCCAGAAGTTGAAGAATTGCAATATAAATAGCAGGAGGAAGTTTGCAGCCTTTTCCTATGATAATTTTGGTAATAGAATAGTTGGGAAGCGGAGAGACTGGGCATACTACTTGCACTCTGCCTCTTACAAATAGGTTTTTTCCGGGTTGTAGTGGAAAACCTGTGTATGAATCCTGGCTGAATTGGTTGTTAAACAACTTTGTAGACACCTTTTCTCACTTTGGCTTTTACCATTGGCTGAAAAGGAGAAAGTTTCTTTTGCCTCCTTTACTCCCTCTTTTTTTATCTTGTTTCTTTAAGTTCCCTCAGAGTGTCCTGGCCGCTGTGGGACTGTGGAGCTCTGCCTAACCCGTTGTTCTCAGCACGCCAAATTTCACAAAACAGGAGTCCTCACTCTGCTTCCCCCTCGCCCCAGGATCTTGCTCTTTGGAGAATAACCATGATGCTTATGTCTGCTCTTGGTCATAGTTTTTGCAGGTAGCAGCAGCGTGAACTGGAACAGTCGCTTCTGTATTGCTCACGGGCTTTTTGATAGCGGAGGGAAACTGATTTTGTTTTGTTACTGTTTGGGAAAGCTGTAGTCAGTAGTGGCGAAGCATTGCAGCTAATTGCCTGTAGCCTCAGGAAACTGTCTTGGTTCTTATTTGAAGGATTATCTTAGTCATGAATTTCTTCAAAAATAATACTCAAAATTTCCCCTCACAAATATTAATTTCTGAAATGCATTTTGGACTCATGGTCAAAATTAAAAATAGTCATACTTTCATTTAAAAGATTGCTGCATTCCACACACACCCCCTTTTTTTCCCCTCTGTAGTTAAAGGATACAGTCTGTATTTTATTTTACAAATCAGTTTGCCTTGGAAGCATGGAATGTGATTTGTTTTGAAAAGTAGTACCCACATTTATTTTTTAAATTTGTATTTTTAGTTCATGTTACTGCTTTTCTGGCATGTATTAAGTGATTATACAAGCTCTTTTCATATTTAATCCAAAATACTGCACAGTATTTTGTTATCATTCATTTGGAAGTGATGGTATTTCTACTGTAGCTCACGTTCTTACTACCACAGTTTCTTCTGAGAACTGTAAAACTTGGAGTTTGGAAACACTACAAGTCTCCTTCACAGTTTCTTTTTGTATCTCATCTTTTTATGGAAATCTGTAGAACGCAGAACTGAAACATGGATCTGTTCTGCTGGAATTGCAGTTTATTCTCTTTTAAATGGCTATACTAAAGATGTCACAAACATAACTAAAATATGTCAGTAAAAGAAGCTATGTAGTTAAGGTCTCTTAAATTAAAGAGAATTTTAAAAGTAAAAATGCCTCACAATGAGAACCTCTAACATTGCTTTTAGAAGCAGTGTACGACTGCTAAAGTTAAAGATCGTGGAAGGCATGGTATTTTACTTTGACTGAAGTGCTGTAAGTCACGTGGCGTTTCTAACCTGCTCCAGAAGACTTTTATGTCTTGTCTTATATATGTCTTGTCATTTCGACATTAGTAACTGATGTTACGCTTCCTGGTATATGTTAATCATGGCACCATTCATTTTTGAAGCAAAACCTCACAGGAATACTGGTGATGATAAGAACTGATGTTCCCTCCTATGGTCTATAGAGGGAGAAAAAGGGTATTAAACTTTCTTATTTCAACCCTTTTGCTTTTTGTCCAGGCCTACAGTGGTACCCCACCAGCAGAAGAAAAGGAGAAGATCATCTGGGTCAGATTTGAAAATGCAGATTTAAATGGTATGGCTTCATTTTCTGTCACTTATTTTTGTGATTTTGGGGTCCATGTACAATAATTTCAGTCAGCCTTATCAGTAAGCATTGTTGACTCAAAGTTAAGTAATTTCCCTGTTCTAGATAAACTAAATTCTAAGTGAATAACTGCACTTTTGTTCAATATCTACCAAATAGAACAAATAGGCCTTGTGACTTTAGATAAAGGCAAACTAACTCTTGCTTAGGAAGAGGGGCAAATAAAAAAAAATAAAATTCATTTCTTTTCCTTAAGGTAGTTGAAAACAAAGCATGGAACTAAATGTGTTTAATCAACTGTGTGATTTTTAAAGCCAGATTGTCTAACTGTGAATCCAGGTCCCAGGTACATTTTCAGTGGTGTGTTAGAATTCAGAATAACCTAGAAAGGAAGAGTGGTTGGGTGAAACGAGCAGGAGATTCCATGATGTCTTTCAGGGAAATAATAGAGCAGACCCACAAAATATTCTTAAAATGTAAACTCATTTATCACTTCCAGTGTATCTTAATGAATCATCAGCAAAGACTACTGACTTAGTGCAGAAAACACATCTCCAACCTTTTTAAGAGAAGATGATGATTGTTACAAGCTTTTTTCTAAGAGCATCAAGTGGATGCCCGCTTGAGATCTGAGCTGTTTTACCTGTCTATCCTGGTTACCTTGTTTTGAATAAGGAAGGTTAGAGACTGAATTGAGACATGGTTGAATGCTGCTGTCAGGTCATTACTTCTTGAATTAACTGACCACCTTGGAGTTGCTTGTGGTGGGTGTGTCGTATGTGTGCTTGTCGTAGCTGGGCAACTAAGGACCTGCCTTCTGGCGGACACTGGATTTAAGTTTTTCAGCAAATTGCTGTTTCTCATCTGCCATCTTATTTCCCTGTCTAGAGCTCTATGGTAGAGGCTCATTCTGGTCTCAGATGAAGTAATAGCAACCACAGCCAGAGCTGTGATGGGGGAATTTTCAGCCTTTCCAAGAAGTTAATAGGGAAGATTATATGTTTTCCAGCTGTTAAAATGGCACAGAGGCTGGCAGTCCATAAATCCATGGTTATTAGAACTAGAAAAGACCTATCAACCTGTACATGGCATTATGTCCAGCTTTAGGCTAGGTAAGGTTTGTTTGCTTGTGTATTCGTTTTTCTCGTGTATTTATTTTTAAAAAATCTCAGGCATTCCCTCTATAGTATAACAAAAACTCTTTGGAATATTTTTCAGAATCCTTCATATTCTGTTTAAATTTACTTTAATGCAGCCTGATCTGATTGGGCCTGAATACATCCTCTTTCACCATCATAAATATTTCCTCTCTTTCTTTGATGCTCACGTGCTAGCAGTGAGCTTTTCTTCATTCTGTCATGGCAGAAAATGTAGTTTTAGAGGGCTTTACTCAAGAGAAGCTTATTATTTTTGATTATTATGTTCTGTAGCACTTTTCTTTCTGGGGATTTAATTCTTTTGGTAAGATTGATTTGAAGATTAATTACATAGTATCTAGAAATAGTTCTGACCAGTCTGTGCATTTGTAATTTCCTTTGCAAATTTTTCTCTATTTGAAAAGTTTACCATGTTTTATTAATCATTTGGAAAAGAATTGCAGAATTTTTGGGGGTATTTAGTGACAACCCACGCTATAATCCAGAAAATTTTTCTCCATTTTAAATTATAATGCTTTCTAACCTCTCTGTGAAACTTTAACAGTTCTATTATGTTTACCTAAAAGAATATATTTCAGTATTATTCCAGCATAAAAATTTAAACCACTTTGCTTGCTTTTACTTATGGCAACAGAAACATGCATTGAGAGAATGCCATCTAGTATAACTCACACCAGCCATAGTTGATCCTAACCTGTTTATAACAGCTTTGATATTTAAACCCAATTTAGATACATCGAGGAATATGGAGTTTCATGAAATACATAGCACTGGGAATGAACCACCATTACTGCTGATGATTGGATACAGTGATGGAATGCAAGTCTGGAGCATACCTGTAAGTACAGAGTTCACTTCACTTCTATGCCAGAGGCTTCTTTTGTTTGTAATGTTGTGTTATTACTTTAATTTTTTAATTTATTGAAGTGGAAAGAGCCAACATTTACCATCAATGTCATATGGTTTGGATGTAATATGCTTATCTTAAGATTAATACTGAGCATAGATCAAACACTTGAATTCATATATCTTCAGATTTGAGGGCTTTTTACAAATTATTTCTGTTAAGTAAATTTTCAGAGTCAAATTGGGAGTAGTGTTGGACATCATGGAATAGTTTGTATCCCAGAAAGGACAGAAATCTTTTTAACTTACAGAAAGGAATGAAGGTGGAATATATGAAAATAATTTGTTTGTCCCAGGAATGCAAGTATGACAGTATTAGTAGTATTTTACAATCACGTTTGTCATGTACGTGATTTGCAATTTTAATTTTATTAAAAGTCTATGTGTACATATGGGTTTGATTTCATGCTGTCATACACACACCCTGCAGTTTGTGTTTCAGAGTGGTTTATGAGCACATGGTCTTAATTTGGGGAATTTCCCCCAAATTTCTTGAAACTACAGAATAAAGTTTAATACAGTAGGTCATAAAATTCTTAACTTAAAAAAAAATAAAATTGCTCATAACACCTTGTCCTTCAAAATAATGTAGAGAGGATGGAGTTCTTTCCCTTTGTAAAATACATTGTTTTTTACAAATGCGTATCTTTTTTTATAACTTTTCGGTTAGCTACATAGGACATGTGTTTATATACCAGTAGCTTAGTATAATAGAAAATAATGTTAATCTGTCCACCAAAAGTTAAGTTAAATTGAGTTTCACTGAAGTGTGGGAGAGTTGGTTTTTCCCCTCCTTGACTGCATATTGTTAGCTGGAGATGAAGAAAAAAAAAAACTGCTGAGCTTTTGCATTTGAAGGAGAGTTTAATGGAAAAGATGTAAGACCTAGTATTCTTCACTAAATTTAGTAACTTTTTACTAAAATTTAGGAACTAACCAAAATATAGGAAATTTTATCTATTTGTATGTCCTGAGAAACTACATCTAATTCTAATTTTCATGGCGCTATTTCTAATGGAGCGAAACACATCTTTTGATTGTGGTGGATTTTGAGTTGGTTGGGTTGGGGTTGGTTTGTGGTTTTTTGGTTTTTTTGGGTTTTTTTTTTTTTAAATCTGCCTTACACTGGAATGACTTTGAATACTAAGAAACGGATTTATAGTGTATAATGAGTTTTGCACACTGTTTTGAAGACTGATCAGTTTTATATTAGTGTACAAATCAGATTATTAAAACGGTTCCAAAAGGCGCTGCTTTGTTCTTCGAAGTGTATTACAGAAAACAAACATTAGGTGTCAGTAAGATACTGAGCTAAGAGAGGAAACACAACTGCAGCAGCACCAGGAGTTACAGCACAAGTTGATCACTTAGTTAAGATACTGTGAGTAGTCACATAGACTGAAGCTAAAGAAGTTTTATAAACCAGCTTATTTATCCTAAAAAAATGGATGCGTGTTTTCTGAAAAATGTATGGAAGTACGTTGTGTTGATGTGAGGCTTGTCCTGGTCACTCTATGATAAGAAGAGCTTGTAAGTGTCCAGCAGACATTGTTTTGGTTTTCACTTTTTCCCCCTCTGTGTGTGTATGTAACATGCCCTTGCTGCGTGGTTAGGTGAGAGTTCTGTGCATCCCTTTTAAGTGACTTTCTGTCTCCAAACGAAAGTGTCTCTGTCAGAGCTGTCTCTATCAGTACCCCTGAGAAATTTGTTGTGGGAGGGGACCTTACATGTGTAAGGAAAGCAAGAATGAAAGAGGAGAGTCACGGTTTTTTGGTACACAAGCAGATTAGCTCTGTGTAACCTGTTCTGCATTAGCTGTCTGCATTTAAACTCTAACCTCATGCTACTCTATGGTAAACAAGAAATAATTTGATGGAGATGACTAACAAACGATGCGTTAAACTACTTTGTTTATCCGGGCTTACGTGGAGTAAGTGTGTTTACTGGTACCATCAGGCAGGTAGTACAAGGTAGCTTATCCGTGTTTCCTAGAGGAAAAGAGGAGTTTTCTCTGGGTTTGTGGGTGGGTTGGTTTTTTCTTTTTTTTTTCTTTCCCTTTTTGTGTCTGAATTAGCCACTAGTTAGGCCACGGAATACATGGATATTACCTTCTTTTTCAGTAGGATAATAGCTACGTTGTCTTTTTTTTTTTCCCCCTCAGTGTATTTCACTTCATAATTCCTAGATTTTGATAGTATTTAATATTTTGGGAAAAATAAGGGAAATAAAATTGCAGGACAGTTTCTCTTAGTGTCGTTCATTTTTTTAGAGGTATTTTTAATGGGTGGGGGAAAAGTCCAGTGAAATGGGAAGAACGCCAAACGTGGAAATATTTTACGATCCATCTTAAGAATGTCAGTGTATGTATACTGCATCACTTTGTCAGCCCTTTATTTGTATATTCTGTAAAATTCTGAGACCATATCCAGAGAGGTACAGCTTTGACCTGTGCAATTTGTATGTGTTAGTATAATGTCAGTGTTGGAATGGTTCCTTTGTTAGTAAGATGATCTTGGCGAGTTTCTCAAATGGATGGTCTTTAACATCAGTTTTAAATACCTTTTCAGAGCAGGATTTGTATATCCAACAAATCTGGAGGTAACATAACCTGTTTTTTTTTTTCTTCCATGTTGTTGTCGCTTCATCTCTTTTTTTGCTTACTTAGACTGAGTGAAATAAAATCTGGCAGTTGTGTGACTGACTTTAGAGTTTATTTGGCACCACTTTTTTGTGTCTTTTGGTATTATACAAACCTTCCTCCTTGATCTTGCTGAGTATTTAACTTGTAATTAAGCAACGTTATTCCAGTTAAGAAAAAATGGATCTCTCTAGATTAACAACCTTTCAATCTGAAAAAGCAACAATTTGACATTTATGTGAAAATGTACTCAGCGCAGCTATTATCTGTAGCATTGTGCTTTTTATTCATACAATTGAACCTCTATTCAGCACTTAATAAAGTAATGTGTTGCAGGCAGTCCGGTTTGTGTCTGAGTGATTATGAAGTGTTTATGACAGCTTCTAAGCTGACACTCTCTGTAATGGTGTTACATTGACTTCTAAACACCTTCGCAGTCTGCCTCCAGGAGAGTGTGTCTCTCTGCAGTCTGAGTGGTTTCACATTAACATCTCCTTGGAGTAAGATCTTTGACTACAGAAGTGTTACTTGCAAATGGAAGATACCATTAGGGCTGCTTCAAAGGACTGAAATCATGTTTGGACTGCTGGGTGCTGAAGTAACGGCTGGGGTTTTGAAGTGCAGTGTCTAAATCTGTATTGCATAAGAAGCGGAAGGTGTCCATCCAAATGACTTTTCTTTGATCTTTGTTTTGAAATGGGGGTGGAAAGGTTAAAAGTGTTCTTAAAATATGCCTCACTAAGTGGGGAGAAATCTGGGAATATACAAAAGTATGACTAGAAGTTCCTATTTGATAATCGTGCAGTGCAGTTTTGTGTTTTATTTGGAATTTGTTTTTCTCTTCCTCCCAGTTTCATGTTTCAAATACAATTGGAACTGGTTTCTGCCTAATGTGGTTTCCAAGTATCTGTTCTAGATGATCCTGTTCAGGAAAATGCATGTTGGCTGGTTTTGTGGCAGATAATTTTTTTTCATTGTATGCTGGAAGCTTCAGAAGTAGAAACATCGTCTTAATTTAATGGTTCATATTACAATTAAAAAAGAATGATCAAGCTTGAGTTGAATAAAGTGGGAACTACCAAAGGGAACTTTTAATAACAAGTGCAGATATATATTTAGGGAAAAATACTCGAAGGTTGTGGTATAATGACGCTGCCACAGACTGAAGGGATGTGTCAGCCCATATTGTAGGTGACTTCTGTGTGGAGACCTCTGGAATGCAGAGGACTCGTTGAACAAGGATGGCATCACACACTGCCATTTCTCCACTGCCAGACCTTAAATTTCTTTAAATGCTGCTGTCAATAATACTGTGATTTTTTTTTTTTAAGTTGTTAAAACTGCAGTTGTGCAGCAGATGGTGTGTTTATGTGGATGTATAGATGGATGTATATGGGAAGTCAGACATGCCAGTTCCATTTTGTTTTCTCAGTTGTTCACCAACAGTCCAGTCTGCTGGGGTTTCAGTGTGGTCCTTTTGGTCCCTTCATAATCCTGCTCTCTTTAGAGCTGGGAAAAGGACTGGTCACTTGTCACACAGTGAGCTGCGATCCCTCCACTGGCCAGACCCCCTCCTGACAGAGGGTACCACTGTTAAAGCTTGTATTAGCCACTTGGAAAAATGTAGTAGTGACCTGACCTAGTAACCCTGACAAATGTCTAAGGACTTTACAAAACTTCTATGCAAATCATTTTCTGAGGCTCTGGGGTTTTTATGCAGCAGATGCTAGCAGTATGTAAGAAACTTTCTGGTTTTACGCTCATTAAGTGACTGCAGAACTGTTGGAAGTTTTGTTAAACTCGTATTGTAACCTACATCCATGGGGGGGGAAAAAGCATGTGCAACAACCTCTGGAAAGGATGTGGTGAGAGGTGTCAGAAGAGTCCAAACAGCATTCCATGTGGCTCTTCTTGATGGGGTCACAGCTAAAATGAAGACTCACAAAGGGTGTTTTTACCCATATTCTGCCTCTTTCCATTATTATCTGTGTCATTCTTGTCTTTTTGTAGAAATGAAGTTATTCAAATCAATGTAGAACTGTCCCCCAAATTAGAATTTTATAGAGATCCTGCAGCCTGATCATGCTAAAACTCATCAATGTATGACAAAGTGAGAACTTTGAGGAAATTGTAACCAAAACAATTTCTAAGCTTTTATTGTTTTTTAAATTCAATTAATGTTGTCATAATTTTAAATGCTAGGTGCAATTTTGTATTTAATTCAGTCACTAGATTAGATGTCTGCAACATTCTTTGAGCATTTAAATTCGTATAATCTGTAGATGGAGATTTGTTTTGAAGGAGAAAGTGGACTGTTTGAATTTCTAAAGCAAAATTATCCTTTTACTTACAGTCCTTCCTTAGCAGCAAGATGACTTGTAGTAGTCTTTAAACCAGCATGATTATATCAGTGTTTTGTGGTAGTATCTGTCAATTGCTTATTGTCATAGTATAACATGATATCATGATAATCTAGATCATATTTAAAATGTCTGTCAGAATATTAAACCCCCCGCACCTGCTATCTTCCCTGTGGTCTGTGACAGTCTTTCTTTTAATATACAAATAGTTTGCTTTTAGAGTTGTACAGTAGTTTAGACATTGAATTTTGAACTTTGTTTCAGTTTGGTGTATGTTTGATTTTTATTTTTTTTTCCCACACCATGTGAAAGCCATTTTCTATGGTTGGAAACTATTAGTTATCCTTAGTGTGAACAAAACTTCTTTTGTTCTGGTTTTTTTATGGGTGCAAACTGGTATGCTCCAAACAATAAAGCTCTGTCATCAAAAATTAACCAGTGCTCCAGATTTCTGGTCTGTCATGTTTTAAGCAGTAGCTTGAGACATCTAAGTGGAGGAGAGAGGAGTTCCTCGTTCAATCCATCATTATTGGAAGAGAGCGACGAAGACTTCACTGGGGGCCGGGTTTTGAATAGGCGTGTTCTTTGCTTGCAGCCTTCCACATAGGTCTGGGGCTTGTGGTTTGATACCAGGCACTGGGAAAGCTGAAATGTTCTATCAGACCAGCTTGGAGCCGTCATTTTGGATTCACTCTTTCATAGAATGAGTACCTGAAGCTGCTTTTATAGCTTAATATTCAATTCTTGAAACCTGTTTGGAAATATTCTTGGCTTTTGGAATGGGAAGGAAAAACTTTTAAGAGCTTTGAGAGCTGCCATAGGGACTTGCTGCTTAGCTGGATCAAATCCAAAATGGCAGCCACAGCCTAGTTTCTTCACAGGTGCTTTTTGAAGAATTTAAAGCTCTGTTTTCAGTTCATGAAATCTATTTATATTTTGTCTATGCTTATGAGACTGTAGCTCAAGGGACTGGTACTGGGACATGGAGCCTTTTACTTGTACTTGCCAGCCCACATCTCACCCAAACTGGCAGCGACAAAGTTGCTAGCCATTTAGCGATGGGCCTGGGCTTATGGGGTTTTTTATGTAATTCCTTCTCCCACTTCAGTTCCTCGTGGAGTAAGTGTCCCATTCACAGAAAAGACTGGCTGTCTGTGGTGGCTGTCTCAGGAGGGAGATAAGGCTTGACCTGGCAGGAGGATCAGACTATATAATCTCTCTGCTCTGAAGATGGGGCTTTAAGTCAGAATTGATACATGGGGCCTCAGCAATGGTAATAAAGTTTTATGTTTTATATAGATAAATGAAGGGCATTAGCATCAACCACAGTTAATTCAGAATTTTATAAGACTGCAAATAGCAGAAGCTTCTACTGGTGGTAGTGCTTAAAAAAAAAAGTTAATTAAAAGTCAAAGAAAATCTTCAACTCTGAAGCCCTAATGTATTTTTCAATGCGAAGCAAACCAGAGGAACGACCAACTCCTAGTAATTCAGGGCATACAACAAAGTCCAATGCCTTCTAGGATTTCCTGTTTCTATTAACAGTTAAGGACATATAACTTAAGAGTTTTCTTAAGGGATTTTTTATTTTATTTTACAGAGCTATGATCGATTAAATATTGGTGTTTTAATCTGATCCATGTTGTAGTGTCATGCACAGATTTTTTTGTAAACTTTTTGGTGCTTTTTACTGAATTTGACTTTTTCTTTACAAACGAGATGCCAGTGGTTGGGTGGGATCTTGTGTTTGCATTGCAAAATCTACAATGGAGATGTACCTTAAAATTTGCTCCTTTTTGGCTCCCAGGAGTCAGCAACATATAACCTCCTAAATATGTGAGCTGTGCAGATGGCCAAAGTTATCTAAAGTTTTAATTGCTTTTTTCTTAGTTCTACACAGTTCCCCCTTTCCTGGGAAGAGAAAAATCCTACACAAACTGAGAGGAAAGGACATGTTACCCTGCAGTATTACATATTACAGCGGTCTCAAAACATTTAACTACCTATAATCTCATATTTGTCACTGTCTGATCCTATGGCTTTCATTAGTCCATTTAACCTTTCTTTCTGTAATTTCCCCCAGTATAAAATAGTTACCTTCCAAATAATGAATGTTAGTTATTAAAAAGTAAAAGCATTATATGCATGAGAAGAGCAGGGCTGGGATTTTCGTGTTAGGTGCTGAAGTACAAATAAACTTCATTTGTATTTGTACATTTTAGGCTTTTCTTTGAAAATCTCAACTTTAAGCTCTACCAGGTCTTGGCATCACAGGCTAAATAAACACACTCTCTGGAGTTGAGTGTATATTTAAGAGCAAAAACTGAGTTAAGAAGGTTTGGCCGCCTTAGTGTATCTTACTTTTGGGACTATAACTTTATTTGAAGTAGATTGGAGTTAGAGCTGATGTGCTGGCATAGTTAAAATACAGGAGGAGGTGACTGAATTGGGTTGGGTTATTTTATGTGAATCACTTCTTCCATACTTTTGTTTTGCTAGTTCTTTTCCTTCTTGTTTTCATTCATAGCCATTGGTGTGCATGCACATGTGAAACAGCATTTTCATGATTTTGGGGAAAAAATCTTTAATTGCCAATAATAATAGTTCCAAAGCCTTATATTTTTCTTCTTCTCCATTTCCTCCTTTCCCTTTTCATAGAGCTGGTGTGTTCCAATGGATAGAAAATGTGCTACTGTCTTCATCTCTTTTCATCTCTTTATTAGTCTCTCTTTAATTTTTCTCATTTTCTGCTTAGCTGCACTCTACCTTTTTCCAAGCTGTCTTTTCTGGATGCACATGTTACCTATGTTGGGGTTTATTTTCCACACTGTCCTCCAAACTCATGATCTGTTAAAAACAATCAGCAAACCCTTACTGACTTGATTTCTGATCATGGTTCTTTTGTCTTGTATAGAATCTGGTCAGCACGCTCATCAGAGCAGAGGCCTCTAGCTCTCCCGGAGGGAGAATTAAACTTGTTTTGCAAAAGCTCGAGTACCTACAATGTTATATGTTGCTCAGATGATGCTGCTAGCTGGAAGAGGAGAATCTGCTGTGATTGGAACATCTGCCTAATAAAATAAGAGCTAAGGGATTAATTCTCATATTGATTACAGTTTTTAAATTGTGTCCATCAGGAATAATTCTGATCACATCATTGACAGTAATCTTGATTCATACCAACGTGGAGCTGCAAACTGTCTGCAAAACGAAAATGGCTAAGAATGTTATTTCCCCAAATTTGTGTCTCTTGGATGTTATTCCAGGTGTAATATAAAAAAGCAGTAGTTCACTACATTCTGTGTTTACTTACTGTTTGCGGAATGATGGGCTACCTCTGTAGTAAGTAGCGTTTTCAGAGTAATCTTACAAAAGACTTATGCTTTGGTGGGGTAGGTTTCATTCTGCCCATGTTATCTAAAGCAGTGATAATAAATAATGAGGCTCGGGGTTAAGACTGGAAGTAAGCTAACAGTCTGAAGTACTATACTTATGATTTGTTGGTCAAACAGTAGTAGTATTTTAACTTTTTGAATGTGTGATCTAAAGGCAGAAAGAAATGGGAACAACTATAAAATGACATTTCAAAAAGCTAGCTTGGATTTATAGTTGATTGATTCATAAGAACCTTGTTCCAAACTGTACTCACTTCTGATATCGTAAACTGCTTGTTTGGCAAAACTTTATGCCAACATGTTGGCTTCGTTCTTAGTCTCATTACATCTGTTTTAAGTTGTTGGTTATTTGGAAATAAGCTTCATAATGTTTGCCATTTTCCTGAAGTTTGACGTTCCATATCGGATCCGTTACCAGGCAGTTATGAAAATGCATTCTGATTGACCATTTACAGGAAGTCTGGAAATTCTTCTTAACTGCTTCTGGTTTAATCTTTTCAAGATTGCCATTAGTGACAAACTAAATTACTTTGACCCCCTATTTTTAAACATCATTTTCACACCTGGAGAATATGGAATGTATCACTATCTCAGATTCTCTGATCTTTTACCGCCAATGTTTGCAACTCTTGATCATTGGTTAGTTAGCGTTTTTCTCTGAAACATGCGCTGTGTAGAATAAATGCTTGCGTTTCAGATTCCTTGAATTTTTGTTAATTTAGTCAGCAGTCAAGTTTCAAGTCTTTTTTTCTTTTAAAACATGTATAGTCATTAATAGTAGATAGTGCTGGTATCTCATTCACGTTAGTCAAGACTTCTGATATTCTTATTTAGAGAAACTGTGGATGGTTGGTTAGAAAGGCAATGTCTTAACAACTTACTTTCTTACCTACCTTTTGTACAATGTCTTTTTACTTACTTTCTTACCTACTAAATATATATATTTTTATAAGTATAAATGTTTTACATGGTATGTTCATAATCCATATGTTTCACAGATCAGTGGTGAAGCTCAAGAACTCTTTTCTGTCCGCCATGGTCCAGTTCGAGCTGCACGGATTTTACCAGCTCCACAAATCAGTAAGTGTATGTTTATATGGTTCGTAAGTAAGCATAACTTTTTCTACAGATAGATCTTTGTCCAAATCATTGCTATAACCTGTTATGTAGATTTGTCCATTCATTTTAAACTGTCACCTTCATAATGGCTTTCTACAAGTATAACTTCTTTTTTCCTCCTACTCTGTAATCCAGTGCTTTCTCCTGTTTCATCTTCAGATTTTAGCTTTGATGCTGCTTCCTTTGTAGTTTAGAGGATATCTAGGTATATCTGTGCTCAGAGATCAGTCCGGAGATGTTAACGATTCTCTTTCGAAATACTTGTTATCAATATTTTATTATTATAATATTGAAATTACTTTTTCATAGCAAGGCAGTGGCTGATAGCAGTAGATCTCAAAATTATTGTTTATTAAAACCTCCTGTTATAGTGCATTGTGAAGTCTGTTCATAATGTGATGTCCTTCCAAACTCTTACGCTCTTTAGGATAGTATGTCTTTGTTTGTTACTGATTCAGGAGCTGAAACTGAAAGAATGTAAGATAATGCAAGAAGTAGTTGATCTAAGTAATATAGTTTGTACAAAGAGAAAATAACCTTTTCTGATTATTGAAAATTTTTGTTTATGAATACAGTATCAAGTACTTTCTAAGCTGTGGAATGATTTAAGTGGTCTACTAGTGCATTAAGTTTAGCAATTGCAGCTTTTTATGACATTTCTAAAATAGGCTGCTTTTCTACTCCAGTAAAAGTAACAAGAAAATAGAATGTGGTTTTTTTGAGGTGGTACTAGTTTCTAATCTGTTCCTCTTCTGCTTATTTTATGTAAACTTGACTGAAATAGTTTGACTTTTTTAGTGGTTGAACTTTTACCATGATCCTTTGAGTACCGATAGGCACCTCCTCTCTTTTATTGCTTAAATACTCTTTTATCAAGTTCTAAGACAAGTTGCTTAGTTTGTTCAACAGGATTGTTTCGGAAATTCGGAGTTAAGCCCCTGGAAGAGCTTGCTGCAAATTTTAAGCAACTATGCATAAACAAGCAAATCCCTTTTAAAAATGACACTGTTCAATCTAAACACAAAATCTGATTGTAGACTTCTTAAAGGCCTAAGATCTGTTGGTTTCCTGGCTCTTTTTTTTTGTTGTTTTGGCAATGTTTTGCTTATCCACTTTCCCTGTAACTTCAACTGGTCAAGGTATTCTTTACAGTTGCTGCGGAGTAGTTCTAGTTCAAATTGGTTGCCGTGTTTTACTTTGAGGATGAAAAGAATGTACTTCTAGTATGACCAAAGTGTTTTGAGATTCTGCTGGATTACAGATTTTACTAGTACATTATAAATTAATTAGTGAACTAAAAATATAGCCTAAAATCTAATTGTTTACATTTTAATTACAAAAATAGTGAATTATAACTATTTTGGGTGTTTCAAAGGAAGTAAATGAAGAAAGTTAAAGGTTTAATGGACACATTTATATTCTCAGTGATTTCCTGAGCAGAAGAATATACAAAGTATATGTGGTTCTGTAACTCTGTTATAGGTTAAAGTAATTTAAAACAAAATACTTCAGAAGCATTTTGTGCCTTTTTATTCTGTTTCTGGGAACACTGTGTAATTCCTGATGAGTTATGTTTTTTTCCTTTTATGTGTGTCATTAAGTACTGCATGTCTATGCCCTGTCCTCTCTCAAAGGAAAAAAGAGGAGAAAGAGAAGTGTAAATGGAAATGAAGTAAATTAATTGAAGAGTCTAGAAGTTCTGATTTTTTTTTTCTAATAGCAAAATAGGCCTTTCTGATTTTGCAGTGTAGTAAGTTACACTGCTTATGAACTCCTTCATGCACTTACTCTTTCTGTCTCTGAGTTGCATATATTTAGCATCTGACAATGATAGTTGTTACATTAGAAAACTATTCAAATTAGCTCATATTAAATTAAGTCAAACCTTTTAAAAGCATGTTTTGGTCTCTTTTTACATGGCTTGGTTTAAATAAATCTTTGATTAAAAGTACATGAATGTATCATTGACCAGTATCTGGAATCAGATAAAAGTAAAGCTGTAATAAGAGGCTTTAGATAACTAACACATGAGCTTTAATGATTCTGAGAAAAATAAAAGGAATTTGTAAAGGAGAAGCTGATTACCATCAGTACGCTCAAACACTATTTTACTGTAAAGCTGTAAAAAGGGAATTATTGAAAATAGCACTCTCTCGGTGGATGGATTTGGCACGTTCCTAGAAACAGATCTTAGCCTGTGATAAGAAGTTCATTCCCAGGTGTGAAAGGAAAGCTCATGGTTTTAACTTGGTGACTTTACAGTAGCAGAACTTAATAGTTTGTCAACTATTTTGTTAAAATACTATAGTGCTTTGATGTTAGATCCTCTGCTGCATCATGTGCTTCATAACATAATAAAGCGTTGTTTCAAGAGGCTTATTTCATGCAGGCTTATTGCAAAGGAGACCTCCTCAAATCTGATTTAGCAGTTTATAAGTGATCCTAGTAGCAGGAACGCGGTGCAGTATCTGGAGCTGGCCTCGCACGCTGCCAACTCAGATCCGGTGAGGTTTATTAGTTCAGGCTCTGTGCCATGCTAGAGCAGTTAAATGGCTCCTGGAACTGTTCTGACCTGGCAGCTATACCGCAGTGTTCGTGCAGGGTTTTGTCTGAGCTAACAAACCAGGCAAGACCTGACCTGGCCCAGCGCTGCAGCACTTTGATGTCTCTGTGTCAGTGGCGTGGTTGGTCTGCAGCCTAGATAAGATGTCCATAAAGAATTGAGAGATTTCTGTAAATAACACTGAAAAATGTAGCTATTAGCTCTTCTCTGTGGACAGAGAGTATCTGCTGTTGCCTTCAACAGTAGATACGACTTTTATTATTTTCTGCAGCTTGCAATATAAATGGCCTTTTTGGAGACTGAAGGTTTACACTGTGACCAAATTTCAGGCTTAAGAGAAGAGATAAAGTTGCATAGCTAATATTCAGAATATGAGAACATCTCTGCCTGGATGCTGTCAGTCTTAGAAATAAGAATACTGAGTCCTGGCACTTCGCGTGCCACATGCTGCATTATCTGCTGAGCCATCTGGTTGGCACGGCTTTGTAACTTGCCTAGCTCTTCTTCACTTTCCAATCTGTATGCTGTGATTGAGTTTAGTACTTATTTATATGTATTCAGGTGCCTGGTTTGCTGGGCTCTGGACTTCTCTGTCTCTTCAGATAAAACAAGCATGCAAAGATGTGTTTGAAGACAAATCGATGTGACTTTGTGATTATTAGAAGGGAGAAAACATTAAGTGGTAGATACAAAACAAAGCTGGAACTCCGCCTGGTAAATTTAGCTACTGCTCTCTATGAAGAGGAAACTACGTTTGGTAACATGATTGTTGTTAACGATAGTGAGAGAACGAAGCAAAAATCAGGGTGTATTAACTCCCTCCTCCTCCATTTTATATGATTCAAATTTGTGATGTCCTCACTACTACTCAAGTTACTCTGTATTGGGCTTCCTCTCACACAATACCTAATGGCTCTGTTTAGCCACACTAACCTAATTATTCATATTTGTTGTTCAACGTGTTTTCTAATTTTTCACCACTTCCTCTAGATGATGCCTTTCTCATTTTTCTGAGGTAACTGGTTGCATGAATACATACTTGTAGAATTGAAATGGTACTGAGTTTGAGTTCTGGGTATTATTAAGTATTCTGTCTTGGATATTCCTACATTTCTCTTCTGCTTCTTCTCCTTTGATTAGCTTTTCTGTTATATTTATGTAGTGTGTATATATATGTTTTCTAGAAACATTAAAAATATTGCCTAGTTTTTTCTGTAGTAGCGGTATGTTTTATTTTAGCAAACCCTGGCCAAATACCTGCTTTCTGCCTTGTGCCATCCTATTTATTATGGTAGGTGTGTATAGTTTAAAAGGCAATCAAGAAACTAGGAAAAGCTGCAGGAATAGCATTGTGTGTGGTAATTCATGGTTAAAGGGTACATGATGACAGGCATGTGTGTTGAAGTTGAGATCAGTCATTGTCCATAAAACCTGTTTCCATGTCTCAGCATTATGAAAATAAATTCCTCCAGTGAACTCAATTAATTTGTTGCCATTTTCTAGATTATGCTGCTTGCAGAAAAGATGATCTAATAGTCCTACATCTCTCGATGAATTTGACTGCTTAGTCAAATTGATTGATAAGGAGAAAAAGCAAATAAGAAAGGGAATAAAAGAAAGAAATCAGAGGTACTATGTTTAAAGCAACTGTAAACCAAGGGAACCTTGTAGATGAAGGGTTGAAAACTAGAATTAACATGAAAACCTGAAATTAATTGGGACACAGAGTAATTTTACATTTGAAAATGTAAATCTCTTAAAAGTTTAAATTTTGCAGCAGATTTATCTCTGTCCTGTACTGCTTACATCTTCGATGTTGGTAAAATAAAATTCGAACCTCAAAAGCTAACTCAGCTTTATGTGCAGGTATCCTTAAAAGAACTATAATATTTAGGTTGCTTTCTAAAGGCAGGCAGATGTGAGTTCTGTATATATTCAACCACTTGGGTGGCTTAGTGGTTTTAAGTCCCTGAAGGCCAAAATAATTGCATAGTGTGTAGAGCAGAGGAACTAGCCCCGCACGCTGAACAAGCAGTAGCAGTTGGTAGCTAGGTTTGGATTGGTGTAAGTGGGCTGTGCAGGTGTGCATTTAAGTTCTGGTGTTTTGTAACTGTTATGTGGGTTGTCATGGCATAATGAATGTTAATGTGTGTGGATTATAGAAATTACAGAACAGAATTGTCAAGCATAGCAAGTAAGCCTTTTATAGATATTATTGGGAAGAATTTTGGAGCATGACATTTTAAAACACTAATTTCTTTGAAGCTGTGTGCACTGACCTGTATGCCACCATTTCAATTCTGGCCACATCACATCAATGCTTTAGACTATTAGACCTTAAACTTTTACCGTATTAGACTGATGTGTCTCTTAAGTTTTTCGACCAAGATTCAATAATAAAATATTTCTGTCTATCTTCAATGTGAGACTCTAGAAACATTGATCTCTAGCAAATGTTTCAAGGTAATTTTTTTTCTTTTTTTAAAAGGAAGCTACTAGTTATGAAAGAATAAACTATGGTGCTGTGCAGAAGAAAAAACAACTTGCTATAAACATGCATAGCTCCGTCTCTTTGACAGAACTGCCAAGATAATGTTCTCCAGCCACCATTGCTGCTTATCTCAGAAATGGGAGGGTGGAATGGGCTGCGAAGGTAGTAGATATGGAAATCAACTGGAGTTGGAGGGGTTCTAAGCTGGTAACTTTGGGGGGGGATATAGGAAACAGGTGTGATGATGCAGGTACTGGATCAGGTACTTAAAATATCTGGGTGATGCTGGAGGCTAAGGGAGATAGAACAATATGATGCTCGTGTTCTAGAACGTTAATCCTAAAGGAGCACCTGAAGTTCTGGGATGAGGACAGCAGTCCCAGCGCCATTGATCAGGCACAGTATCGAGTAATGCAGTTAGAGCTTATCTGTGCAGGAAATGGAGTATTTAGAGATGCTGCCCTGAAGCTGAGGAAAGAATTCACACACTATTTTTAGGACTGACTCGAGGCTCTTTACTTCTGTTTCAAGTAGCACACGTTCTTTTTTGCATTTGTGTTCAATAAGAAAGCAGAACCAAAATGGCAGTGATTAAGAAATGTTAAGAAAGGTTTGTTTGTTTGTTTTCCTCTGAAAGGAAGAAGCAAAATAGGGAGTGAAAACTGTACGTAGTGAATGCCAGCCCTGTGGCCTAATGCATTTCCAGATACTGGTCGGCTGCTGCACTGATGTGGGGCAGAACCACAAATGCAACACAATTTCCAAGTAACAGATAGAAATAAGAGGGATTTAGTTGAAGGGGAGATGCACTGCATTATTAAATGGCTGTGATGGAACTTGATCAGTGGAATTACATACCAGAAAAATATACTCCATTGTGCATGTATGCTACTGCTAAATAGGTCAGAATTTGACATTTATACAGTGCATTTCTTACTCAAGGGAAATGAGGGTACTTTTCATAGTTTTGAGTAGTTTTTGAGTTCCTGGGGTTTCATCTCAATTCTTCAAAAAGGTGTGCTGCTGCTGCTGTTGTTACTATTATTATTGGCATTATTGAGAGGCCTTAGCAGGCCCGAGAGATATCTGTTCACAGCTTCATCAGAAGTACAATACATAAGCTGCTTTGAGCTTATGTGTGGGTAACCTTTTGACTTCATAAAGTTCTGAATGTTGATTTGTATGAAATTTCATTTAGCCACCGATTTTTTTTTTTTCCAGTTTTAAGTATAGTAACTGAAGTTAGATTTTTTTTTTTTTTTTAATAACGTATATCATTTAGCTAAATGGAGCTGTAGATAAGGTGGTGCCTTGTTGGCAGGGAGGACAGTTTTCATTACTTTAATTGTGTGATTTGTCAGGATTTTCAGCTTTTTATAAATGCTGTAGTGTTATATGACAGAATTAAAAGGATTTAGAATAAAAGGAGTTTAAGAAAAAGACTTTGCAACAGGATTTCAATACTTTTTATATTTGAGGGATTTAGCTAGCTGTTTTTCATTTCAATCATCCTGCTGCATTTTGTTAAACACTGTGTGTGGAGCAGGTGTGTACAACGTCAGCGTATCGCACATGCAAATAAACACAATTTTACAAATAAAAATTAATCCACCATAACTTGGAAGATTAAATCCTACCGCAGAACTGGAAAGGGTTGCTGACTCCATTAAGCATTGCAGAGAACAACACATGTCGCTTTTTGCAATCTCATGAATGGGACCGCTATTAACCTGATTTAATGCTCTGCAGAGTCCTTAAAATAATGATCCTTTTCTACAGTATTAATATTTACATTCTGAAAGTATATATTTGAAATAGAATTTTTTTTTTTTTTAAATTAGGACGTCAGTCATCACAGACTGAAATCAGAAGTTTAAGCACCTATTGTACAAATTTTGCAAATCTGTATCATGGGTATTAAAATCTGGTATTTCTTTTGATTTGTGCAGTTGTTTCCCTGTACTCCCCACCACATTTCTTCCTCTAGCTGCCCCTTCCTTGTTGTTAAACATAGAACTAGACCATAAAGAAACATATGAATTCATATCTCTAATTCATATATCTAGTTTTTAAAAAAAGTATAGTTAAATACTTAAGGTCAAATCCTGGCTGCACTGAAATCAGCGTCAGAACTTGTGGCAGTCAGCGTTTCACCTGTAATGCTGAGAGATTAGCTAAGGGGACAGAAACAAATGGAGTTCATCTGTTACTTGGATTGAAGAAAACAAATTACTTGCCAGATTCTTAAGAAGACTATATGTTTCATTTATCAATTTACAGGTCAGTACATACAGTACAGGTATGACTTATAAAAGCCCTTGAAATAATAGGAATAAAAGGAAAATATGTTTGGCTCTTTTAGGTTACTTGTAAAGCTATTGTTGATGGTGAAATTATTGATGTGACCCATTTGACTTTATAAATACCCAAATGCGTAGGAGGGAAGACTTATCCTTGTACAGATGAGAGTACTGAACAGTTTTTGTTACAGATTAAATGCCTGTACTTGAGTTATTAATAATTAACAGAGACTGTTATGTGAAAATATATATTGTTAATTGTTGTGCCTTTCTGAATAATTGATTTAGTGCAGTACACCAGCATTTGTGAATTAAATTTTGAACAGACTATATCACTAATAATCTTTATAGATCAAAGGGTTTGGTGCATAATGAAGGGAAAAAAATAAAATTCCATTATTCACCACACACATGCATACCTATAGATAGAAAATTAAAAAGGTAAAGGTTGAAAGAAAATGGCAGAAACTTAGTAGCGTTGTTGTTGGCTGTTACTCTGTTACTGAAGTTGGGTAGAAACCCACCCTGGAACTTAGTAAACCTTGTTCACAAGTAGAAGAGAGATTTTTTTATTTTTTTTTTACTTTTTTTTAATTTTAGTTTTATTTCTGCTTATGTAGCAATAAGGCAAAGTTTTCAAAACTTCTAAAATCCCATTTTAAGAAGCGTGGCATACTTAACAATTCGATGGTTCTGGAGGGAAGGTGTGACTGCAGTTTGGGAAGAGAGAAGGCTGTTTTAATTGCCTAGCTCTGGTGCCAGCGGTGTGCCCGGATCCCGGGGCAGGCAGCACCGTCTCAGCAGCTGAAATGCAGCAGAGGACGAGCCCCTGACAAACGCTGCTGCTGGGGCTGCGCTGGCCTCACCTGGGGAAGCTAACCTGAAAAGTCCATGGGATGTGGTGTTAGTCATGTTTTCGCTTTGAGTGAACGGCAGGCACAGCCCCAGTCTCGCTGGGGGTTGCTTTCTTAAAGGCTTCAATCGCTTGGTGGCGGAACTTAGTGAAGACTGTTTTGAATTTAATCTCGTGTTTTCTTAGGCACAGGGCATGGGCTGTAAGCATGGCCACGCGTTGGGCAAACGCTGGCAGCCCCGCTTGCTGCATGCTAAAGAGAGTGGCTGCTCTTTGTGCTGTGTTCGTATGGTTAATGCTCTTAGATTCCACTTCTACCTCAGCAGAATAAATTGGAAACCAATGTGTGAAACCCACGCAGAGTTGGTGACAGCCTTATTACAGACAGCTTTTACAAAACAATGAAAAGTGAGCAAGTGTTACTCGTTACAGTTACAGAATCCTTAACCCCAACTGAAATGAATAGAAAGTAACTCCAAAATTCTGGCCAAATTTTGCTACTTGTTGTGTTACTTATTGCCATTCTTTGAAGAACAGTTCTTCCAGTGTTCATGACTCTGCCTGTTGCTTGGATTTCTATCACTAATCTCGTACAGGCTGTGAGTTTTGAATTATATATTTGATATCCTTCCAATGTATTTGGCCCCCACAACATGCACACCTGTACTTTGGAAGGGACCACAAACAGTACCTACTGATTTGCATTTTCTTTTTTTTGTTTTCCCTCTTACTAGGTGCTCAGAAATGTGATAATTTTTCTGAGAAGCGACCTCTTCTTGGTGTGTGCAAAAGCATTGGATCTTCTGGGTAAGAATATTTTTTGTGAATAAAGTCTTATATATAAATTGTAATGTCATCTAAAAAAACCCCAGTAGGTTACATCTTTACAGCTCTATTCTCTTTTTGCTTGTGGGATAATGCTTTAAAGTTTGGTTTTTTCCCAATGTGTCAGCACACCTCTGCCTATGACTTAAGCTTTTTAAAAGGAATAAAAAATAGAGACTCTTGATATAAAATAGATGTAGGGGTATTTCAAGTTTATTTTGTTCTCAGTGTAATCACAATTTTATGATTAGCCTTTTCTGATATTAATCCTGGTCAGAATTATTATTGAGAAATGTCTGAATTAACCTCTGTGTCTTTCAGTAATTAAAAGATGCTTTCAAGCAGCAGTCATATACCAAATGAATTATAGGTACCAAGCAACTTCATTGTTACAGCCATTCACTGTTTATTAGCAAAATAAATATTAAATCTACTTATTTGAGTTAGAAAAATCAGTTAACAGTCTTGTCTTGTGCTCTCTGGACAGTATTGTTGTATCACTCCTCTTATAAAAGAGGGCCTTAAGGTATTTTGATCTGTTGATTCAGACGATACAAAGGATTTATATCTATACCTACAGGAAAATATTGGCTTGTCAAGGGTAATCCTCTACACAGCGATTCAAAGGCTAAACAGTTGAAGTAAATCTTTGTACAGTAGTAAGACCAATTCTGTGCCAAACCTTTTTCAATTAAGAATTTAATCACTCTGGGTGTGGAGGAAGACTATCGAGTTTCTGTAAATTTCTCTGTATATGTTATTACTGTGTTAAACTGGAATATTCATGTTACCTGCCTTAAATGGTTAATAGAAAAACCACGTAGGGCAGAGAAGTGAAATGCCTTTCTATTGATGTGTTTACAACTTGCAAAACTGTTTACAGTGACTTCCCCACCCTGTAAGTGTATGTAATCTCATGAATAACTTTCTATGTAAGAGTACATGTAACTGGAGATGCAAATATTGCTCTTGTAGGAGTTTCTGTCTTAAACCAAACAGTGCATTTAAATACGTAAAGGATATATGTTGGATGGAAAAAACCTTTCCTTCATACCTTTGTTTTACAAGCTGAGATATCTGAGAAATGAGCAAACTATAAGGACCATTATTTTCACCGTGTTACTGTATTCCTCAGTTAATGGGAAATAAGTCAAAGATTATAGGTAGTTGCTGCTTTACTACAAAAAAAAAAAAAAACAAACCCAAAAATGGTGTGTTTTCAAATTGAATGGAAGGATTTGTGTTATTACTTATCAGTAGCTAAATAGCTGCAAATAGAAGAGTTTAGATCAGGCTTTCTGCTATGACCAGAGGACTAGCACATCATTAAAAAAAGGAGACTGTGCTACAGGCTCTTGTTTACCCATTTAATAAAGAACCAGTTTGCTCATGGTGGTAAAACTTCAACAGCAAATTCTAACACGCTTTTCTACATTTACTGTTCATTGCAAGTTATTTTTGAAGGAATCCTTGCAACTTACCTATTTTGTCAGTAGCTTTCAGGTTAAGAGTTCTTTGATGGCTTGCCCTCTTTTAAATTGGCTCAAGTGTCACACTTGTTTTCTGTTACATTCATAGATCATTTGATTACCTTTCTATAATGATTGTTATGCATAAAGAAAAATTTGTGTAGCACACTAAAAAGCTGCGTATGAATGGCCTCTGAATCCGAATCACGATTTTAGTTCTGCTCTTAACTTGAGGCTTTGTGCTTAACATCATTTCCTGTATATCTTAATGGTTGTGGACAGATAAAACACCTTGTTTAATCATATATTTGAAGAAAATACTACATTTATTTTAGAGCATTTATTCCAAAGCACTTGACTTTCATTGTAGTCATCTCTTCACCTGCTTTGGAGATTATGCTGGCTATGGCATGAAATACTGCAGCTGTCAGCACACTACTAAAATGTGCAGGGAATAGGAGGTCTATTCTGTCTACTGAACTGGCAGGTAAAATAATCAGCGAAATAGTGTAGCACTGACACTGAAGTATTTCCCATTGAACAGAAAGGTAAACGAAGTGTCCAAAAGACTGAATGATTTTCTCAAAGGCAACTAGTCCAAAGCAGATCCAGAAGTGAAATAAATCCAACATGCTGTTATGCTGATACATTAAACTACATTGTTTTTCTTTAATATAAACTGAATGAGACTGGACATGGTTATGACAATAGGGCCAATGTCCTTATCTTGGCAAGACGTAGTCTCAAAACAATTCCACCAGCACAGCCCCCCCGCCCTTATCCCCATCCTCACTAGGACACCAGGTTATCACTCTTTTAGAGGGGACACGTGTAACCTCCTGAAGTGCTTCTGCTACTTCCAACAGTCCTCTGGCTTTCTCCCATTCAAATTTCACTCAGGTTGTTGTCTAAAATCTGTCAGGATCATTTACCAAGGAGAATGATTCTGGGAAAAAAACCCCTTGACTTCAGCCTTGGTCATCATTTGGATTTTCCCTAGCAGTTCCCCAGAATTTCTGACTTCTGGTTGCTCTGCTCAAATTTGCAGCTATTTTTACTTTTTTCCTGGAACATCCCTGATAATTTTGACATTTCCAAATAAGTTTTTGTTGGTTTCTGTTATTAATAAATGAGGGATGTGGTACCATTTTGGAAGGTTTGGTGGCTGGCACCATGACTTACTGCTGAAGAATGGTTTTGGATCCTGTTGTATCTGGAGGCAATATGATAATTTGAATTGTTTTCCCTGGCAATCATTTATATAGAATCCATTTTCAGTAGGTCTTCTAGAAAGTGCTTTGAAGCTGTTCATTTTTTGGATGGCAGGTGAAGAATAAATGCATTTTACACCTGACATGATAAAACCTCAGTAGATTATTAACTCTTCATTGCCTTTTAGGAGAGGCTGTAAATTATCACATGCTGTTCTTGACTGTAAGAAAACAAATGTTAGAGCTCTAAATACTGTGCGTACACAGTTCTGCATGATAGATGGGTGATCGTACTTACAAATGTGTTGATATGTTTTGTGATTTTGTGGACTCGCGTACGTATATTCAAATGCATAAAAATCTTTGAAAACTTTGAATTCAGCAGGTATGATAATTACATGAGCACATTTTAAATAAGTGTGCTAAACCATTAAAGTAATACAAATCTGATGGAATATAGATTTATCTAGATCCACTGCACTGTCATTTAATAGTATTTTATCTTTTAGGACTGTATCAATGAGATATTGACACGTTCAAGTTAGGAGCTGGGATTTCCTGGTTCTGACCACTAGTCTGCATTAGTGGTTACCATCAGGAAATTCTTCTCTTTTCCTTTAGCTGTAAAGTAAATACACTATAATGAGGGAAATATGATAAAAAGGTATTCTTTTTAATGTAGAACATTGGTCAATCTGGAATCCAAAGAATTTTCAAGTAGCTATGAATTAATAACTTCAAAAATATCACTTATGTTAAGTAACTTCAGTACTTTTCTCTATCCCTCTAATGTACCATGTACTTTATTGGCAAGAATTAATGAATAATTTTGTCTGTGGTAATATGCTAGAACTTCTTTCCTTCATTCTGAAACAAAGATAAGTATAAAAGTACTTTATGCAAAATAAACTTTCTTTAGATTTATGTTTCATTCCTGAAATTTTTTCATTGTCATTTTCACAGTGAAAGATCTGTTTGGTAACTTAGAAATACAATAGTTTACCCTGGAGATTCCCTAATGTTTTACTGGAAGTATCTTGTTAATTTTTAGTATGTCTCCCACAAATTTAATGACATATTAACTTCTGAGTAACTTGGTGTGTGGGTTGCATGTCTTTTGTAATGAAACCTAATACAGTACTCATTGATATAATAGGTGCTTATAAAATGTACATTCCTTTGAATATCTGAATCAGGGTCTTAATATTCAGTTTTGTATTTCTTGATTTTTAAATCTCAATTTCTTTGTGACAGTCATGGTTGAGAACCTGCTTTAAAAATTTTTTTTAGTGTATCTAAAATTTTAAACTTTGCACTTAAAAATTTCTGGCACCTGCTTTATGTGGAAAATTCTGTAGCGAGAGATTTGCCACTAATCCCAATCCTTGTATTCCCCACAGTGAGTATTTTACCATGGAAGATGACATTTGTATTTCCTAAACTTTTGCCTTGTGTCTTGAGTTTCTGACTAGCTTTTGGTACACACATTTTTGTATTTTAAGTCAAATTTTCCATCTAGTAAAATGACTGAAATTTCTAGCATGGTTTCACTATATAATCTTTTCAAAACAATAGTTTTCACAGTCCCCAAAAAGGATGCAGTCTTGACACATAAATGGGAAACAGATTGTGTTTTTTGGCTGATACTACTGTGCTGGTTTAGATGTTGGTTCAGTCAACTTCAGTCTTAGATTACAAGATTTGCAAATTAAACGAAAACCAAAAGGGAAAGAACATCTGCATAAATCTTGTTTTTGTGGAGTTCTGTAGAGGCACGCTTACTTTGTTCTTGGTGATAAGATAAACAAATCTTTATATGCACACTAATTTAATTGATGGGTTTTGTTACGTACTAATGAATTTTCTAGGTGGTGAAACATCAAGATTAGTAATTGGTGAACAGAGAAAATTTTTTTCATCTACAAAAAAAGTAGTAGTGGTGGCCGTAAAACTGCATGGCAGAACTAGTCAATGTGTGGTGTTTGGAGCTACACAGTTTAAAGATAACTGGATAAGACCAGTTGTGTTAAATGGAGATATATTTCTGTTTTCCCCATATGGGTCGTTGAAACCATAGTTTGGAACATACTGGATCTGTAGAACACCTTCAAATACACCAGAGAGGTCCAAAATACATAAGGCGTGCTTTTTTTTCTGGTCAGATGTAAATGTACCGATATCTTTATTTTAAGCAAATGCTTCATTTTAGCTACTAGCGATGTTTAAAGGGAAATTGCCTGGTAAAATTTTGTTTTATTTTAGATTATTAAGAAAGAAGTCATAGGTTTGAGAGTGATTGCAA